ATAGATATTTGCCAATATTATTGTACAAGTGAGGTGACGGGCGAAGTATTTTCTAAAAAGAGAAAAATCATGGGAATAATGGTGTAATTAATTAAATTTCAAAGCAGACTTGTAAAATCAGAGGTTTTGTTGGAATACTTTTGTAAATGTTTCCAAAGAAAAGACTAAGAATATGTTCTCTTCAATTTATTCTTTATTTTTACTTACAGAGCATTGGTTATTCTTTTAAAAATCACCCTAAATAGACTAAAACATAGAGAAAAAGTACCAAAATAGGACTTTCATGTTTTTTTTCGAAATATGACTTTACATTGCTGTACGGTAATGCGACAATGTACATGTGCACATTACTATACTTTTTGGTAATATACATGACCATATTTGGTAATGTAAATGCATTTTAAGTCCTATTTTGGGAATAAAAATATGGAAGTCCTATTTTGGTATATTTTCAATGTTTTAGTCCTACTTTGTCTTTCTCCCTTATTCTTATTAGAATCAGATCTGATCTGATAAAAAATAATTTGAAATAAAACTAATCAAATCAAATAATCATACTTTAGTTGAATCATATCAAAACCAAATAAATAAGCTAGAAGCCTCATAGAAACTATGAAATGATTGCCCAAAAAGATTGTAGAACAATATGAGGCCAAATAGCTCCAGTGTCCCCCTGTGGTTTAGAAAAATTGGCACCAATACCTCATCTGTTCTTAAAACTTATTTTTAAATTTGTCTTTTTATTTCCCTATCCTAGAAAAGTTTCTTTAATTTAATTTAAATTTTTATAATGTTTTTTAATTATTCAAAATTTTTGTATTTGAAATTAAATAAAAAAAGTTTACATATACTCCATCTATCTCAAATTAAACATTTTAACTTTTTGTATTCTATAATAATGTTTTTGGTAAGTTCAAAAATAAAATTATAAAATAAAAATAAAAATATAGAAAACCGAAATGAAAAAAATGAAAACATCAAAAAAAAGTTTTTTCTACAAAAAGGAATTTTAGATTGTCCAAAAAAGTCCTTAGAATTGGAATGTTCAAAAAGGATATTCATTTTTATTTTTTGTTTTATTTTATTTCATATTTTAATTCTCATTTTTTGAAGTTCTCAAAACAAGTTTTTAAATATCTATCCTAGAGATAAAAAATGTTAATTTAAGACGTACAGATGCAACATATGTTAATTTATTTTTCAAAGAAAAATAATTTTAAATTTTAAGAACATTATAAATCCAATTCTAAAAAGAAATTTCAAAAACTTTGATTAATAAAAGAAACAAAAAAGGGAAAAACAAAAAAATAGACAAGAAATAAGAAATGAGCAGCAGTGCTCCTATGGTTTAGAAAATAAGCACCAATATAATGCTACTTTCATTGTTGGAAAACTGACCGGAAAATGATTAGAGGGGATATGAGTGCAATGTTTTGACACCACGGGGACTTTAGAAATAAGTTTTGAAAACAATGAGGGAGGGGTATTGATACCTATTTTCAAATCACGGGGGGTAGTGGTGCTATTTAGCCAACAATATGATGCATATTCTTCCAATCTATGTATTACTATATCTTGAGCATTTGAAAGCAAGTTTTCACACATTTAAGAGAATTTATGCGTGAATATATTCTCTCTGTCAAAAAATTATCTCCATTTTTAGTATTCATAAGGTCAAATTTTATTCACTTTTTAAACTTATTTTCATTACCTATTTAATAAAATAATATATGTTGGTTCTGTAGCATTCTGTCATTTTGTTCCCTTTTGTGGTTGGCCTATTTTTTGACAACACACAACAACATAGATTAAAAGTAAGATATATGTCTCTATAGACACATGTCAGGAGTCTCTTACGGGTACTACCAAGAGAGCTTAGAAGTTTATTGGAACACAGGTACATATTGAACTTCGTGTTTTATTGATCGCGGTAACTCTTTGTGGCGGATGCTGGCAAGACTCCTTCGTGCTGAATACTAGAGCTAAACACCACAGAGACGAAGTATGTGTAAATAAAACCTAAAGCAGTAGAGCCGCAGCGATTTGAGGGTATGTGACAAATCACGAGAGATTCAGAAAAAGAGGGAGCAACCAGATTAGCAAGAATTCACGCAACATTCATCATCTTAGCGTGAGGTTCTGTGTTGTGAATTCAGATTTGCAGAATCCGTTAGTCGAGCATATAATTCACAACCTCAAGCTGACGCACTGATCCAAGAGTTGAGTATCGTGTTACCCTTGTGAGAAGACTGATCAACACGTCTTAGGAAGAAAACAAGAGTGTGGGTGTAACAAGCCAAGTAGGCAGGTGCAAACAGAGTTTGGCACCTGTGGCCATTCATATGGATTTCATAATCAAGACTCTAGAAGTTGATTTTGTGTTTGATTGATGTAAAAACTTACGATGATCTAGTGGAGGATTGTTACACGAACGTGGGCCTCGCATACGGAGGAGATTCTGCTCCGAACTACGTAAACATATTGTGTGCAGGTCTCTTCGTTCTTTTTCCTGTTTGTTTTGTGTGATTATGTGTGTGTGCTACAACACTTTGTCTGTGAGATTCATTTGATAATCCGCATACAAAGTAAAGCTTTTACATAGAGGGTGAGTTCATAGACGAAGATGGTTTCTGAGTGGCATAACCCTTAGATATTTCAATATAATCATGTTTTACATAGTTTTCTAGGTGTCCTGATGTGGTTTTTGAATACGGAGTATTTAATTTTATTTTTAAATTCCACACTATATATTTTATATAAAATTAGAGGTAGAGGAGGGGTGGGGG